CAACCTCACGCCTGTGGAGCTGGGTTCACTCTTGCGGAGCAAGGTAACCCTGTTGACCTCCACACCGATGAGGTATTTTCCGCTCCTGCGGCGCTACTCCTACAACGTCGGGTCCATCAGAGCGGCGTTAAAAGTGATTAAATTTCCATCATCCTTCTCTATCTTTCATTTTGAAGAAGGGAGTGTTGATATTTTTCTTTTTTGGGCGATTTTTGTGGGAAATCCTTGCATTGAGCTGAGAGTTGCTTGGGGATGTCGTAAGGATCGATATTCTCGCTTCTAAACCTGTAAGTTCCCATTAAATTCATCAATTTCAGCTAGAAATAGGTTTCATGGCCTAATTTAATTGTTCGGTAGTTTTAGCCGATACAACTCAAATTGTGTCCATTTTGGGGGCACAAGTTCATTTAGCTAGTTAGAACCTATATAGTCAATTTTATGATTCCTTGTGCGGTTTCACAATGTCATTTTAGACCCGATTTTGGTTATTGCAATTTGAATGTCAAAATAATCATATTGATGTCGAGATCACTATTATGATAATATGAAATTATTTGGAGGCTTCTCAGAAGGGAAAAACCTCATTACAAAGTTTTGGAGAGCCCTTATTTGTCTTCGAGGTAGGCTACGACTTACTATTCTTAGACCTTGCTTCTTTATTGTTATAGCATGGTGATTTGCTCAATGTTGGGATGATATTTAGCATAATTACTTGTTGTTTTCGTTATTAAATTGATTTCACCTTATATTGGTTGTTTCGGGTAAAATCTGTGTTGATCTTGATTAGTGTGATGTTATGTTTGTTCCCTTGAGTTGTGAAACAATTAGAATGACCTTATTTTTTAGGTTGGTGACCTTATTATAGGATTGACTAGTATTTGCCTTAGATGTTGGCTTTTGTGGCATGTGGGGCTTGGTTTGGGGATGAATTTAGGTTAGCTACAACCCTTCGGCCTAGGTTGTCACCTTCGGACAATCATATTAGTATGTGTGACCGGTTTGCTGTAGGGAGATGACTACCTAGACTCATTCAAGACGCTACTACTCTTAGTGATATACCTGACTCGAGGTGAGATTTTGGGAAGGACTAGCCATTTCGATGAAAGATTCAAGGGTGTGCTAGGTCCGATAAGGTTTTCCGATATAAAATTTTGGGAATGTCTAGTCATTGCAATGTAAGATTTCAGGGTGTGCTAGGGTCCAATAAGACTATTTTTTGTAAGAGTTTGGGAAGGACTAGTCATTCTGATGTAAGATTTTGAGGCGTGCTAGGGTCTGATAAGGCTTTTGATGTAACATTACGAAAGATGCTAGGTTACATGGTGTTATCCCGATGTCAGATTCCAAGAAGACATTTTTATTTATCATTGAGTTATGCCTTGTGGTGAAGCTATTGTGTGTGTCGCTGGGTTTATGGGGGTTCAACCGAGTTATTGATTGTATGATTATTCCTATTATGTCTTTGTTTATGGCTTCTAGGCTTATTGGGGTCCAATTAGGGTTTAGATAACTTTTTTGCTTTCGTTATTTACCTTATCATCTTGACTATGATTCCTGTCAAGCTATGCCTTTACAATTGCCTAATTATCTTGTCATTAACTCGCTTAATATTATGTTATTGAGATTAAGACTAGCCGTCGAACCATGTTATTTCAGTACCGTTCTGATCCTATAGTATTCAGTATGAAACAGAATATGTTGAACCAATACTCGAAATGAGATGATACCATAATTTTATATCGATATCGATTGGTACCGGTTGATCCAGATTCTGATTTTAAGTAACTAGTCTTGGACACGTGTAACACCCGAAAAACTAGTAGGTGAAACTTGAACTTTACGTGAGACTTTTAGAGTTTGATGTGTGGGTTAGAATCGTAAAATGGCTTCCCGTACTTAGGATGAGGGGTTTAGGGGTTAAACGTCAAGGTACGACTCCCCAAGGACCAACCAAGGATCGTTGAGGAGGACCCTAAAGCCTAACCCCAAATCTGCCCAAATCTGCCCAAAGTTGGTGACCTACGGATGGGACATAGTCGTGGATCAAGGGCTATGATGAGGAACTGCAGGCCATGAACCACGGACCTGCAAGACGCCCCGTGGACCCACCCACGGTCCGTGGGGCTATGATGAGGAACTGCAGGCCTAAAATTCAGCCAAAGATAATGTCTTTTAGGTAATTTCCTCTTTAGTTAGTTTATTGTAGGGTCGTTTTATATTATTTTAATAGACCTATGTAAGGGTTTTTAAACCATTAACTAACCCATATACCTCATAAATCCAAAGACCTCAAGTTCATAACTAACTTTCCCCTAAAAACTCTCTCTAGAACACCAAAGAAGAAGAAGAAGAAGAAGATCAAGTTAGGGCTTGAAGAAGGAGGATTTTTCACACAAATTTGTTGGATTTCTTCAATTAAGGTATGGTAGTCTTTCATTCATGGATAGCTTTCATCCATGGAGTCCTCAAACTCTCAATTCCAAAGTTAGAAAGTCTCCAAAACCTATGGTTTTCACTCCAAGTCATGGATTCTTTCTAAAAACGTTTTTATGATTTAATTATCTTATATTATAATTGAATTGTTGTTTTATGGTGGTTTTATGATAAAATCTCCCATGAATCCATGAATTACCCTAATTTCTCAAATTGGATCTTAAAGTGTGGGTATTGATTGATATTTGTAGAATGTTATAGAATCATGAATATAATGAATTGATTACTTGAATTATGTATTAATTGAGGAATTTCTATGGTTTTGATGTTGAATTTCCTCCAAGAACCCATGAACCCCCATGTCCCCAATTTGTGACTTTGTGATGTGGGTGAATTGTGGTGAGATGAATATTATGAGAGTATGTTGTATTAGTTGAGTTATTTGAATCATGGTGTCTTCCATGTTTAGTGTAGTAACCCCTAAATGTGATTGGTTGAATGTGATCCTTGATATAAGAGGGGTAAATTATGAGACTTATGCCTAATTGTGGCTTCATGTGTATACTTTATGAACGTGATTATAATCCAAATTGTTGTGTTGTTGAAAGGTCAATATCACATAAACACTTATACATGATTATTCCATTATTATTGGCTTTATTATTGTGTTGATTGAAAGTTCATTCTCATAAACACATAATGAGCATACTGTGAAAGTTTTTCTCACATATTGAAGATTCTAGGTTGAAGGTTAGTTCTCACCTAATTGAATCTAACATGAAGACATGGACTGTGAAAGTTTATTCTCACGTATTATCTAATGAGTTATCCTAATGAAACAAGTTAGGATTCAATAAATTCTTCATGGGAATTATGCTTAGCACCGAGTGGATATTGAAAATGAGATAGAGGCTCTCCCGTCTAAAAGGACAGGTTTGTAATGTTGTTCTCATGAGATGGAAGCTCCCCGTTAAGTAAGGTTGGGTTTCTAGAAGCAATCTCCGTATCCCATAAACTACGTGCCCCCGTAGGTTATTTAGTTATTGGATCCACCTAAATGCTAATACATTTTAGTTCTACCTAAGGCAAGTAGGACACCCTTTTTCGGTGTGGGGCATACACCGAATTCCATGCAAGCTCACATGGTCTATGTCGGTTAAATCTAATTCCCACAAGGTCAAGTCTAGGATGAACTATGGCTACTCAAGAAGTACTACTTAGTGTGGGTTGGGTATAGGACTTCATCCATGCATTGCACAAGTAAGCTTTGAAGGTAGCTATGGTAGGTTCCTCTTTTGTCATGACGACTCATGTAATGAATGTGCTTGGGTATAAATGGAAATTTCATTTGATGTGAAGGATACTTGTAATGTTGTATGCTAACTGGGATTGTTTCTATTAGTTGCTTTCCTTGATATAGTTGACTAAAAGTGATTGTTTCCTAGTCTATGAGAAATAGGCTAAGGATGAGATTAAAAGATGGTAAACATGAATGAGGGTCTAAAAAGACTTGCTTAATATGAGTGGGATTATAGGATCTTATCCATACATTGCACAAGCTTGATTTGAGGTGGATCATGAAGTGTTTTTCTCATGTCATGCTAAAACTAGATTGTATTGACTATGTATATGTCCTAAATGGCATTTCTTATGCTCACTAGTTGTGATTGTTGTCTACCATGTTATAGTCTATGTCTTGTCATGATGTCTCCTATGCTTATGACTTGTGTTTTCACACTACTTTCCAAATGATGGTTTAAACAAATAAAGTGCATGCATTCAACTAAATGTCCCTTTTAGCATGATTTCTAAGGTTTTTATGCATGGCTATCATACTTAGTGCATCTTTGTGCTAACTCATATTTCTTATACATTTTTTCACAAAGTGTAGGGTTTGGCGATATCGACTTCCATCCTCGTGGCTAGGATCATAGTAGATCAAGAAGAAGAAGAAGTTTGGTAAGTCCTCATAGCATTCGAGGGCTTGAGCATTATGTCATTTAAGTCTTTCATTTTATGTTTAGAGCTTTTTGTATGGGCTACGTCCCAAAGATTTATTCAAGTGTTGTAGACGGTTTGAGACATAGTGTTGCAGACTCCCACTTATTTTTATAAAAGACTTCGATTGTAAAGAAAAGTTTTAAAATTCTGCACTATTTCCTATTTTCTTATGTTATGATATGCTAAAAGCCTTGTATGAGGCTCTTCAGAGTCTTATACGTCGTGTTAATTCTAGGGGTACTCTTGGGTCGTGACAAACTTAGTATCAGAGCACAAGATTTTGGGATGGTTCTAGAATGTCTCAAACCACGTCTAGTAGAGTCTTGTTCATAAATGTGAAGCGCGCCACATTTATGAGTAAGAGGCTATTGGATGTTAGGAAAACTTTTCTTCTTCATTCTCTAAGTCGTGCCATAGAGTTTATCTCTAGTAGGTATTTCTCTTAATGTGTGCCTTATGGTTTTCTGGATATGACTACTTCAAGGGATAACATTGAAAGGAATGAGGAAGACAATGTGGAGAAAGAGGTTCCCCTCGAAGCTCCTCCCTAATCTCAAACTGACCCCATGGGGGAGAATATGACTAATGCAGAGATTAGGTTGGCTTTTCTAATGTTGGCTCAAGTCATGACGGCTCAAGTGAGCCGGGAGGTTGTAGCTCTGGTGGATCCGATAATGAGTAGGGCTACTTTGAAAGTGAGAGATTTTGTGAGGATGAACCCTCTGGAGTTTTATGGCTCCAAGGTGGGAGAGGGTCCCCAAGAGTTTATAGATGAGGTCTCTAAGATGTTGGACTTGGTGGGAGTGACTCCGGTAAAGAAGGTGGAGTTGGCTTCTTATCAACTCAAATGGGTTGCTCAAGTTCAGTTTAATCAATGGAAAAAGGGTAGACCGGTAGGAATAGGTCCCATAGAGTGGGAAGTGTTCAAGAGTGCTTTTCTAGATAAGCTCTTCCCTTTAGAGATGAGAGAATCTTTGGTGCTTGAGTTTATTAATCTTAGGCAAGGTGATATGAGTGTTAAGGAATATGCATTGAGTTTCACCCGATTTTCTAGGTATGTTCCAATTCTAGTGTCTGATCCTAGGTTGGGAATGAGTAAGTTTGTATCGGGTTTGTCCGATCTAGTGGAAAAAGAATGTCGTATGTCCATGCTTGATCATGTTATTGATATTTTTCACCTAGCGATTTATGACCTCTAAATTGAGAAAGAGAAACTTGAAGAAAGGTTGAGGGAGAGAAAGAGGCTAAGGATTGAGAATGAAAATTATTCTCTTGAAAGTTCCTTCGGACAAGGTCCTTCTAGGTTTCCCCCAAAATTTAGTGAAGAGAGGGTGTCTAACCATAAGCCTCGGAGAAGGAGAGATAGTAAATCTTTGTTGCCAAAACCTACTTATGCTAGGTGTGTTAAGAGACATGAGGGTATATGTTTGGCCCGTACGGAGGGTTATTATGGTTGCGGTGAGAATGGCCACAAGATGAGGGATTGCCCGGTGCTTAAGGCACAAGGGAGAAAGGCCAAACAAGTTTCTCCTAGTGGTTCAAGTGCTAGTGCTCTAAAGCAAACTAGGTCATTTTCTCTCCAAGCTAGAGGTGAACAAGAGTGTCCTCCAAATGTTTCTCCCGGTATGTGTTTCATGCTTATTTAGATTTTGGTAGTGCTTGTCTTTTGTGACTTGATAGATTTGACATGATGGGATTTTATGTTGTCTTTAGTATGAATGGGCTTCATTGTGGCTTTGTGTATTGAGTGGTAGACCCCGACTTAGTCATGATGAGTTTTGAGGTATGTTAAAAGATTTGATGAATAAGGTGTTTTAGATATGCCTAGATGTGTTGAAGTGAGTAGACTCCTCTAAGAAGGGTAAAAGTGTAATTCACCATGGTTTAGAATCACCTTGGGTGAAGGATGTGAAAGTCGAGTGATAACTTCTCCGACCTTAAGATTGAAAGAAATGAGGCTTAGAAGAGTCTATATAAGCTTACTCCCAAGGGGGAGATAATGTGCTTAGATAGCAAGGTCGTTGGGTGTTTTAGATGTTCATGATTTAGATTGGCTTGAAATTCTCACCTTAAGAGGTGTAGTGAGTTTGAGAAGTTTAGTCCCGGTTTGGTAGGCTCATATGAGATCTTAAGTGGTGTTGGTAAGGTTTCTTGTGAGCTAGAATGCTTAAATGAGAACCTCTCTAATTTAGAAGTACCGGTAGAGGTTTTAGACCGGCAAATTAAGAAATAGTAGAATGACGAAGTTGCTCTCATGAAAGTGGGAAGGAATGGTCTTTGTGTGAAGGTATTAGGTGAGGGTGTTACTTGGAAAGCCAAGAGTCAATGAGATGTCCCGATACCCTTATCTTTCCTTCTATTCCTCCTTTAGCTTGAAATGATAAGTTTCCCTTGACTTGTTTCATGATTGTGAAGTCTTGGATGTTGTATGTGTTCCATAATTTCCTTGTATTATGCATGTTCTTGATGAAATTCATACTAATGAAAAAAAATGAGTTTTCATGATTTATATTCCTCATGTTGTTTGCATGGGTATGAGTTGCCTATTTGACTTCATGAGATGTGTTGATGAACATGCTTTAGTATGCTTTTGAGAGTAATTGCATATTGGCTCCATGATGTTGTGTTGAGCATTATTTTAGTTGGAGAAGTGAGTTCCTCCTATGAAAATGAGAAATATTGAGTTTCGTGCATGTTGGGTTGTTAGATGTAGTTCCTATTTCCTTGTATTGCATTGATTATGTTTTGAGATGGAGTTGATGTTTTCTCATTTGAATTGTGCATTATTTTGATGTTTCATGCATAATGGGCTGCTAGTCTTGAGTCTTTAATTCCGTGAGGTGTTTATAAATGTCATTCGAGGACGAATGTTCCCAAGGGGGACATATTGTAACACCCGAAAAACTAGTAGGTGAAACTAGAGCCGTACGTGAGAGTTTTAGAGTTTGATGTGTGGGATAGAATCGTAAAATGTCTTCCCGTACTTAGGATGAGGGGTTTAGGGATTAAACTTCAAGGTACGACTCTATAAGGACCAACCAAGGGTCCTTGAGGAGGACCCTAAAGCCTAACCCCAAATATGCCTCAAACTGCCCAAAACTGGTGACCTATGGGGCGTAGGTCCATCCAAGCCTCGTGGGACATGGTAGTGGGTCAAGGGCCATGATGAGGAGCTGCAGGCCATGAACCACGGACCTACAACACTCCCCGTGGACCCACCCACGGTCCGTGGGGTTAGGTCATGGGTCAAGCATATAGGCTGCCTCAAATTCGGCCAAAGGTAAGGTCTTTTAGGTAATTTCCTTTTTAGTTAGTTTATTGTAGGATCGTTTTATATTATTTTAATAGACCTATATAAGGGGTTTTAAGCCATTAACTAACCCATATACCTCATAAATCCAAAGACCCCAAGTTCATAACTAACTTTCCCCCAAAAACTCTCTCTAGAACACCAAAGAAGAAGAAGAAGATCAAGTTAGGGCTTGAATAAGGAGGCTTTTTCACACGAATTTGTTGGATTTCTTCACTTAAGGTATGGTAGTCTTTGATTCATGGATAACTTTCATCCATGGAGACCTCAAACTCTCAATTCCAAAGTTAGAAAGTCTCCAAAACCTAGGGTTTTCACTCCAAGTCATGGATTCTTTCTAAAAATATTTTTATTATTTAATTATCTTATATTATGATTGAATTTTTGTTTTATGGTGGTTTTATGATAAAATCTCCCATGAATCCATGAATTACCCTAATTTCTCAAATTGGATCTTAAAGTGTGGGTATTGATTGATATTTGTAGAATGTTATAGAATCATGAATATAATGAATTGATTACTTGACTTATGTATTAATTGAGGAATTTCCATGGTTTTAATGTTGAATTTCCTCCAAGAACCCATGAACCCCCATGTCCCCAATTTGTGACTTTGTGATGTGGGTGAATTGTGGTGAGATGAATATTATGAGAGTATGTTGTATTAGTTGAGTTATTTGAATCATGTTGTCTTCCATGTTTAGTGTAGTAACCCTAAATGTGGTTGGTTGAATGTGATCCTTGATATAAGAGGGGTAAAACATGAAACTTATGCCTAATTGTGGCTTCATGTGTATACTTTATGAACGTGATTATAATCCAAATTGTTGTGTTGTTGAAAGGTCAATATCACATACACACTTATACATGATTATTCCATTATTATTGGCTATATTATTGTGTTGATTGAAAGTTCATTCTCATAAACACATAATGAGCATAATGTGAAAGTTTTTCTCACATATTGAAGATTCTAGGTTGAAAGTTAGTTCTCACCTATTTGAATCTAACATGAAGGCATGGACTGTGAAAGTTTATTCTCACGCATGATCTAATGAGCTATCCTAATGAAACAAGTTAGGATTCAATAAATTCTTCATGGGAATTATGCTTAGCACCGAGTGGATATTGAAAATGAGATAGAGGCTCTCCCGTCTAAAAAGACAGGTTTGTAATATTGTTCTTATGAGATGGAAGCTCCCCCGTTAAGTAAGGTTGGGTTTCTAGAAGCAATCTCCTTATCCCATAAACTACGTGCCCCCGTAGGTTATTTAGTTATTGGATCCACCTAAAGGCTAATACATTTTAGTTCTACCTAAGGCAAGTAGGACACCATTTTTCGGTGTGGGGCATACACCGAATTCCATGCAAGCTCACATGGTCTATGTCGGTTAAATCTAATTCCCACAAGGTCAAGTCTAGGATGAACTATGGCTACTCAAGAAGTACTACTTAGTGTGGGTTGGGTATGGGACTTCGTCCATGCATTGCACAAGTAAGCTATGAAGGTAGCTATGGTAGGTTCCTCTTTTGTCATGACGACTCATGTAATGAATGTGCTTGGGTATAAATGGAAATTTCATTTGATGTGAAGGATACTTGTAATGTTGTATGCTAAATTGGATTGTTGCTATGAGTTGCTTTCCTTGATATAGTTGACTAAAAGTGATTGTTTCCTAGTCTATGAGAAATAGGCTAAGGATGAGATTAAAAGATGGTAAACATGAATGAGGGTCTAAAGAGACTTGCTTAGTATGAGTGGGATTATAGGATCTTATCCATGCATTGCACAAGCTTGCCTTGAGGTGGATCATGAAGTGTTTTTCTCATGTCATGCTAAAACTAGATTGTATTGACTATGTATATGTCCTAAATGGAATTTCTTATGCTCACTAGTTGTGATTGTTGTCTACCATGTTATAGTCTATGTCTTGTCATGATGTCTCCTATTCTTATGACTTGTGTTTTCACACTACTTTCCAAATGATGGTTTAAACAAATAAAGTGCATGCATTCAACTAAAATGTCCCTTTTAGCATGATTTCTAAGGTTTTTATGCATGGCTATCATACTTAGTGCATCTTTGTGCTAACTCATATTTCTTATACATTTTTCACAAAGTGTAGGGTTTGGCGATTCGACTTCCATTCTCATGGATAGGATCATAGTAGATCAAGAAGAAGAAGTTTGATAAGGCCTCATAGCATTCGAGGGCTTGACCATTATGTCATTTAAGTCTTTCATTTTATGTTTAGAGCTTTTTGTATGGGCTACGTCCCAAAGATTTATTCAAGTGTTGTAGACGGTTTGAGACATAGTGTTGTGGACTCTCGCTTATTTTTATAAAAAATTTCGATTGTAAAGAAAAGTTTTTAAATTCCGCACTATTTCCTATTTTCTTATGTTATGATATGCTAAGAGTCTTGTACGCCGTGTTACGTCTAGGGGGTACTTCTGGGTCGTGACAACACATGTTTTGCACCTGAGTCTTGTGAAAGGTATGCATTACTGACAAAATCACATTTTAATCAGTATCACAAGCTATTCAAAAAAAATATAATTCAAAATAGATGAACAATCAATGTATTCAAATAACTTCTTTATTGTATGTCAAATGATTATGCATTTGATGAACCTACAAAACTTAGTTTGGTAACTAAAATAATGAGTTACATTTTTATGTTATTACGTCCAAACATATGATATATTAGTATGTGCAAAAATGAATAACAAAAATGATTAATTGTTCTCATTTAAATGCACAATAAGAAAATTTCTACATATACCTTAAATTGATATCTATACTTTAAGTCCAACACCCATACAATTCTAAATGCTTCATGGAAGAAAAATTCTATAATATAATGGAGAAAGAAAGCAAGAACGAAAAGTTGAGGATATTGTAAAGAAAGTCCTCATGCTGTGAAAAGAAAACTTTGTTATTGTTAGAGACAACATATCAACATAAAATTGTTCATTGTTTAATACTACACATGTATTAAATTTACTCTCTTTTTTTTCGCTGCTATTTTGTCTTCTTGATTACCAATTTTCAACATATTTCGGTTATCCTCTCTTGCAACTTCTAACTCTCTTACCTTCTCGTGTTGAATTGTGTAATTTCCTTAATTTGATTTCCTATTGTGAGCTTCCATCTTTGTAAGTTGGTTTTTAAATAGCATTAGGAAATGACCCTTTAAATTCAAATTTTAATTATGAAATTGATTTCTACATTAAAGAGATGAATGACTTTCCATATTATAACTTTTCAAATTCTTCCATTATGAGATTTATGATTACGATTAAAAGCAATATCAATGTACTCATTTATCAAGA